AGCCCGTGTATACACAATGTGTACCTACATGACCCAATCTTAAGACAAGTTACCTTGAATCTCTAAAAGCTTCGTTGAAGATTGTTGTGGTGTTATTATACAGCTAGTCGGTGGAGTGTGGAAAATGATATATTAGTTATCGAGAGAAAGATACCATTCAGTACTAAAGAGAAAGAAAGAATTGTTGATATACTCTCGACTGCAGGAAGACTGTCCACAGAGCATAAGTTATGAATATATCGGCATCTTGTCACGTATGCAAAGAACTCGGAAGACAGGCGTCTAAAGATGACAATAAAGTTCCCGTTAATTTGTTAATAGAAACTAATTATGCAGGATTCTTTTATTATTCTATGATACAGTCAATTTAACTCCAGCCTCCCGCTGTAGGGTATGTAACTGCTATGACTATTTCAGGGGGATGAACGGAAACGTAAAACCTTCCCATGAAAGGAGATAACCGCATATATCTTCCCGAATATCAATTATATCCCTTTTTTTTATATAGTCGCTCTAATATCAATTTTTCCTAGATTAAAATTCACAGTTTTTCTTACTTAATTCATCGCGGATGTTCGACTAACAGTCCCATCTCTTTCTCTGCAAGTTGCGTGGACGGAATGTGGGACCCGGAAATGCAAATTTAGATACCCAAAAGTTATTTAAGGCAAGGGTGGTCCGGCTATTGGTCTTCATAGATCGGCGACAGGGATTGTCCTCAGGAGTAACTGGTTTAACCAATCAATCGAGGAAAACAAATTTTGTTTCAATATATTTGCCAAGTCTATACTCAAATATGTACGAGTATATACCGTTTAGAAACCAATTTTGCTCTTAACGAAAACATTTTAACTTAGAATCAATGACTATGGAAAAATGATCGTCCGATGCTCAAGCTATTAATCGAGTAATCAAAATACTGACAGTTTTACAGACTTTTTGACCGATATTGACTTTCGTGCGATTAGAAAATAAAACCAGAGGAATACAAGACCCAAAGCTTGTATGAGTCTACAGACTGAACAGCACTTACCCTAGCACCAGTTCAGAGACCGACATTTTAACTCCTGAACGTAGGATTCGTAGGCAATAATCATTCACCTTTCGCACTCAACGGCGGTAAATCAATCGAGAATGTAAAAAAAAAAAAAACAATGTGTATGGTAATTGCGATTATTATGCTAATTTATTCGAATATGTCAGGCAATTTTGTTGCCTAATTTAGCTTTTGCGACAACCCAATATCACGGCAATTTATGAAACAATCGACCACGAGAAAAAAAGAACTACATTCTGCACAAACTTCACTTTACGCGCAAAACTAAGACTTACGGAATTTATCACCATTAACCTATCTGCGTTTGCCTAACACAGAAATTGTGTTCAGAGCATCGTGATCTTGGTGTAAAACTTCATATATTGCCTTTGTCGCTTTGAAGAGGAGCGGTGATAAACTTTCAACGTTTACTTCGGTCACAATTTGGTTTAAAACCAAGGAACAGAGGAATCATAATCTTAAAAAGCCAATCGGTGGGAAAAACACACGACACAACGAGGCGATACATTCTTAGAGGATTTAAAAATACGTCGGGGATGGCAGACAGATCTGTAGGACGGTTAACAAATTAGAAATGGAGTAGAGCTTCGGGCAAGTAAATAGAAAGAGAGAGAGAGAGAGAGAGCAGAATGTCACGAGTATACAATCCTAGGATAACTGACCTACAATGGAATTAGCGTCTACTGTAATTGTCAAAGAAAATTAGCAATTTTTACACATAACTGAGATACCCAGTAAAGGTTTACCTAAAGGTCGTAAATTCCACACTGTTATGATAACGCACGTAATGGCTCCACAAAATCTGAGCTGAAAGCGTCGTTTTGTAAAATGTCCGTCAATTCGTCGATCATGTGACAGTAGAAAGAAACCATATACAGCAAAATGCTCAGCCTATGGAAACCTACGGCGCAAACAGTATTGAATAATACAATCTAATTAAAAGAACTCTGCGACTTCCCAAACAATTTACATGACAATAGCATCTTCAAAAGATAACTAGTGCTCTTAAGTGTAGGCGCCGCATTGGCGCCGGTAAAGAATGCAATTCCCTTAGGAGTCCCACCGGCTTTTAACAATAAAACAGACGCCATAACCATAACAATGATTACAAAAATGTTGGCAGCTGTCACCAACCAAATGAAAGGGCACGCCGATATTGCTATTAAATTTCCGGCTGTGGCGAAATCTTCGACAACTTTACTATTTTGCGATCTTGCCAAATTTTTTAATTCTTTTAGAGTATCTGATGGACGAAAAGAACAATTCTGAAATTTTTCTTTAGTATAATCATAAAAAGCACGTTGAATTCCGACGTACATTATGGCAAACAAAATTCGGACATTGGATTTAACGCGCGGTTGCTCTCGAGGGGTCTTTTGAAACGTTGGATAGATCAAATATGCAAATTTTGTTCTTGTTCGATCAAGAATTTTATTATTACGATCATATCTAACGTCCAAGAAGTTTGAGGTTAATGTTTGATTCGTGCAAACAGGTCAATGGACGGCTTTACGGGTGCCAAGTGTAATTCTCTTACGGAGAGCAGTTTGTCCTGTATTGTTTCATCTTTTAAAATTTTTCCCCGCCCTGATCAGTATTCTCATTTTAGTTTGTTTATCAAAAACGAACAGTAACCTGTGCGGCAGAATCTTACCAACACGTGAACTTTGGGTATTCCGAAAATGGGCATATCAACTGATACTGCGGACTTCTGTTGTTGTTTTGGTACGGTGGCTAAAAGAAACAGTACTTTAAACTAAAAAACATTATTCTGAACTGATTTTGAAGTTTTAAAACTCTGATAGGCTACAAAACCTTTAGAAGTCAATGGTTCCTAAACCCTACTTACTCTTCGCAACTATGCAGTTTTTGTATAGTTTAGACATTTATGCTCTAAATGGCGTATGTTTAAATCAAAAACACTTTGCAAGTGCATGCTCCGTATTTTTCATTTGCAGTTTGATTATACGCTATATCATGGAACCTTAAACCGATAGTTCGCAAGATAAGTAAGTAGCCATAACATGAATTTCTGGTGCTACAAAACTCGATCTTTCAAACCACATATTTAAAAAGCGCCAGTGTTGTTATACTCAGATGTCACTGACATTTTAGGTGTCACAACGTTGTTGCCAATAGACCCTTTCAAGGTTAACGCCGCCATTTTGCCGGGGGTGTAAAACTGCTGGGGCGAACGCAAAATGTACAGTGAATGTATGGGAAAAGTCGAGAAAATGATGCTCGATAATTTGAGGAAGGTTGACATCGTGCAATTTCTATGAATTACAATCTAAAGATACCAGACCTACCAGTTTACCGATCAAATTTTGAGAAATGAAGTCTCGCGAAAAAAGCTGCAAATTAAGATTTTGATTTTCCATATATTTTTCTCTAAAACCAAGCCGCCGTTTGCGGGAAAATTTAAAAGCATTTGTATGAAAAACTAAAAATAAGATTTCTCACTTCTCAGCGAGCCTGAACCCTTCACATTTAATGGGCAACATTTTTTGCTAGGTATCTTTACTTCGTAATGCATAGAAATTGCAGAATGTCAACCTTCCTCAAATTATCGAGCATCAATCTCCCGACTTTTTCCATACATTCACTGTACATTTGCGCTCGCCCCAGCAGTTTTGCACCCCCGACAAAATGGCGGCGTTAACCTTGAAAGGGTCTATTCTGCTACGGAAACCAAATAATCATGAAACAAACCTCGGTCGTAATTCTCAGAAAAAAATTAGCTGAGTGAAAAGTACACGAGATCGGTGTTGACTTGAGGGCGCTAATCAAAAAGTGACTTGTTTTGGCGGAGTTGAAGCGACCAATCTGTTTGACTTCATAAAGTTTTGAGTTCCAGACGCTCTCACGTTGTTCTCAGGAAAAAATTTAGGCACGTTTTATGGGAGCAACAAACCACGAGAAAAATCCTATGTTGTACCAAATAAAACGAAGCGTTAAAGCTTATACTGAAGACGCTTTCAAAACGAACTAACCTTAAAACCTTTTTGAATCCGGAAAGTTGATATAAAATCATAATATTATGTCCAGATAAGGGCATTATTTTTATCTATCAACTTGTCATCGGGTTTCAAAATCTTATGACGCATTTCCGGTGTGCTCTGAAATATTTTGTAAGGTCACAGAAATTTAAATAAGATAAACGGGCTATTTTAATGGCATTCCAGCCAAACTGAAATAGGGAGTGGGGATATATTTATAGAAGCGAGATGTTATGTTAAGTTCACAGATCTTGATAGATTTTAACAAAAGATTTGTCGGCCAATACAGTGAAGAGAAAACTATACGTGCGTGACGCCATCATAAAGACGTAAAGAAAATTAAACACATTGAAAACAATCAAGCCGCCTCACAGAAACCTGAAGGAATACAAAGAGAACAGAAAGGAATATGAAGACAAGAAATACCTCGAGGCTTTGGACCAAACCAGGGCGACGTAAAGCGCTAATTTTCCAAATTACGCACGGTAATTGAGTTAAACGCATAAATAGATCCAGTGCCGCGCTTCCAAGCGAACTGAACTACAAAACGATCCCACGAGGCATATCAACTTTTAGAGCCGCCAGCATAATTAGGCAAAGCTTCATTTTTTCCAGTAATGACCGAGATGTAACATATTGGATGTCAAATACTTAGCATACTGGAAATATTTGCCCTTATCCGGTTTTCCACGCATTGTCTGTTAAGGTCTCTTGCGGTCCAATCCGATTTAAGTTTCATTGGAGATGTGAGCGCGCCCGTCCCGTCAGCTTTGTGCAAACGTAGCGAAAAAAAAGGTCAGCACCATGATAAGAAACACGCAGGTGAAACAAGGAGGTGGAAAGAGGAAATAAACCATGCTCCTGATCATGAAAACAGTTTGGCCTTCTGTGGAAAGCATGTAGAAGAATTGGCTTCCGGCGTGTTAGGTAAAGAAATACCAAGTTAATTATATCTGTTAAATCCAGCCTAACCACACCTGATTAACGAGCTCAATCAGCTCATCTTTGAACTTGCTAGCTATGAAACGTGGTCAGTTTGCTCATTGTTGAAGTATATGTCTGGCGTTCAGCTGCTGACATTAAACCACACGGTCAAATGATCTTCGTGTTTACATTTGCAGCTGAGGTAAAAAGAGGACCAGATAAAAAAATAAAAGTGTGAGAGAGAGAAATTGAGGAAGTATGCTTGACTATGGGGAGATCTCCACCAGTTCCATTATGTTCTTCCTCTATTTTT